TTGAACCTGGGTCTTCTGCAAGAACAGTCAGTGTTCTTAACCACTGAGCCATCTCTCTAGCCCCAAAGTCATTTTTTTTAATTAAAAAAATACTTTTTTTGAGACAGGGTCCCCCTGTAACCCCAGTTGCCCTGGAACTCACTATGTAGACCAGGTTGGCCTCCATCTCACAGAAATATGCCTGCCTCTGCCTCCCAAGCTCTGGGATTAAAGGCGGGCACTGCCAAACCTGGCTAAAAAAGTCATTAAAAAAACTGTGTATGTGTGTAACAGAGAGAGAGAGACGGAGACCCCTGGTGCAGACACTGCTCATGGAAGTTAATGGAATTGTTGGCCATTTTCCAGTTTATGTTTTCATTTGCTATTTTATTAATGTGTTGTTTGCTTAATTAAAAAAATATTTTTATTTTATGTGTATGAGTGTTTTGCCTACATGTATGTAAGTGTATTTGTGTCATGCAATGCCCATGGAGGCCAAGAGGGCATTGGATCCCTTGGAACTGGAGTTATGCATGGTTGTTAGCCACCAAGTGGGTGCTGGGACCTGAACCTGGGTCCTCTGCAAGAACAGCCAGTGTGCTTAAACACTAAACTATCTCTCCAGCCCCTGTTTGCTTAATTTTTGATACAGGGTCTCATGTGTATCAGCCAAGTTAGCCTTGATCTCACTGTGTATCTGAAAGTAATCTTGACCTTCTGTTCCTCCTGGCTCCACCTCCTGAGTTTAGGGATTGTAGTTGTGCACCCTGTGTTCTGTTTATACTGTTCTGAGGACTGAACCCAGGGCTTTGTGCATGCTCGGCAAGCACTCTACTACAGAGCTATTCCCAGCTCTGTTTTATTTTTCTTAGCACTTTTTCACTGTACTTGTGTTATGTAAGACACTTTCTTTCCTTCTTCCGTTCCTTTCATATACTTTTTTTTTTTTTTCCGAGGCAGAGTCTCATGTATCTCAGACTGGCCTCAAACTCACTATGTAGCCAAAGATAGCATTGAACTGATCCTCCTGCCTGCAACTCCCCAGTGCTAGGATTCCAGGCATGTACCACCATGCCTGGCTTAGAGGGGCATTTTCTTTTACTTTTTTTAAAAAATATTTATTATTTTTATTTTATGTGTATGAGTATCTTGCCTACATGTATGTAAGTGCACCTATGTCATGCAATGCCTACAGAAGTCAAAAGAGGGTGTTGGATCCCCTGGAACTGGTGTTATGGATGGTTGTTAGCTGCCATGTGGGTGCTGGGAATTGAACCTGGGCCCTCTGCAAGGGCAGTCAGAGCTCTTAACCACCGAGCCATCTCTCCAGCCTAGAGGGACATTTTCATTGAGTACACATTGTATGTTGAGCATGTTCTGTCCCATATTCTCCCCCTTGTCAGCATTCCCTCTTCCCGTTGGTCCTCTCTGTTCCCCTAGACAGTTTTGCTTCTTCTTTCAGGTCAAATGTACGTATACGTGATTCTATGTATGTGTATGTCTGTCGCATTTCTTTATTCATCCGTTCATTCCTCCCTTCTTCCTTCTTTATTTTTTGCGATAGGGTCTCATTGTATATCTCTGGCTGGCCTAGAACTTGATGAGTAGACCGAGCTGGCCTTGATCTTGACATAGAGATCCTTCTGCTTTTGACTCCAGAGTGCTGGGATTAAAGGCATGCACCTCCATGCCCAGCCTTCCCTGATTTCTTTTCCTCATGTTTGTTATTGGTATGTAGGAAGGCTACTTATTTTAGTGTATGATTTTGTATCTTGCCACTTTGCTGAAAGTGTTTATCAGTTCTGACAGTTTTCTGATGGCGTCTTTAAGTTTTCTTACATATAGACTCATAGCATCTGCAAATAAGGATACCGTGATTTCTTTTTGTACTTCTGTCTTTATTCTCTTCTCATCTTATTGCCCTAGCACTATACTTGAATAAGAGTGGAGAAAGAAGATACCCTTGTCTTGTTCCTGATTTAGGTGGAAATTCTGTTTGAGTTCTCCCACATTTAGAATAATGTTGGCTGTAAATTTGTCATGTATAGCCTTACTATATATGGCATGTAGTGGCATGTTCCTTCTGTTCCTAGGCTTTTCAAAGCATCTCTCATGATGAGCTGCTGGATTTTGTCAAAATGCATCTATTTCAGATGATCATGTGATTATGTGTCCACTTACGTTATATATTACGTTTATTAATTTACATATGTGGATCATCCTGCATCTCTGTAGTGAAACCAACTGGATTATAGTGAATCATCTTTTTGATGTGTTCATGAATTCTGTTTGCAAATACTTAGAATTTTGACATCTCTGTTCATCATAGAAGTTGATCTATAATTTTCCTTTGTGTCCTTATTAGGCTTCATAAAGAGTTTGGTAGCATT